CTTATGAGCAAAGGAAGAAACTTGAGGCAAAGAAGTCTTCTCAATCTTAGATAGAATAATAGCTCTGCCAGCAGCATAATTGGAAGGAAAAGGAGTACCACAATAGGAATATCAAGAACAAGATTCATAGGTTTGGCAGTCAACGATATAATCTTCCCATGAACAATAAGATCTCCAGACTTCGACTCAACAAGAGACGCCAGCCACTTAGAAAACTTCTTAGGGACAGAACACTTGTCAAAAAGCAGCAGAGAGCCAAATCCATATCTCCTGATAACATCCTTCTTAGCTTAAGACATTGAACTAATGGCAGTAGCAAATTTATCGACAGACTGCCTAATAAACCCATCAGACGAAGCCTTTGAAGATTTCTGCTTCTTGGACTATATTAACAAAGAAAAGAAAAAACATAAAATATACAATACTAAAAATAGAAAAGAAGAAAAAAAATAAATACCTGAGCTAGCAAAGCCACGGACATTTTACGCTATAAGGCCCTAATTCTTTCATACTGAAATAAGGACAAAACATATAAAGTAAAAATGAAGATTTATATGAAGGGAATTTAAACACAAAAAATATAAAAAACAATAATAGCTAATTGAATCTAAAAGACCAATTCGAACAAATCTTCAAAAGAAATAGCAACTCTCATTGAATAAAACAAAATACATATCGCACTACCACAAACTGATAGCTTCATTGAAAAATACAAGGAAAGAAAAGGAACAAAAACGCCTTCACTAATCAATGATATATTAAGTGTAACAGATTAAACAGTAATATAAGAAAAGCACAGAGAATGAGAACAGCAAAAGCACAAAATTCTAAAGCTGGTTAGATATTTGAATCCCTGAGATAACTAATCAATAATAAGCAAAATAACGACCATCCACAAATATGGAGTGACACATCATTGATAGATCAAGACTGACAACATGAAACTCTGATTTCGGACTATAGCGGCACAAGATTGGGAACATTCAATGAAAAAAGGTCAGCAGAAATGCAGAACGAGATCTAAAAATGGAGGGACTAAAGCTTGGCATCACAGTCATACGGATCTCAAGATCAGATGTAGCCACCAGCACAGCACACACCTTGCAAAAATAAAAATGAGGAATAATACACAGACTACAAAACCAAGCAACTAGCCACATACAAGTTTCACTATTGGAATTAAAAGAACAAGTGAAACCGAATAGAGAAAGAAACAAGCATGATGGATAGATGGTACAAGGAAACATACATCTTTCAAACACTATTCATATAAAGTTTTATCGAACCTCTCTGAATAGTCAAATCATTAGATGAAGAATCCTAAAAATGACCAACAACAAACACTATAACTAAAATATGTAAAACAATATAATACAACTGAAGAAATAAAAAAAACTTACCTCAGATAACATCTCAACATTAGAACTTGATTTATCACAAAAAAATCATCATTAACATATTGAGAACACATCACATCATCACTCTGACTATCTTCTAAATCAACAAAATCATCTTCAAAACATAAACCAGCAACTCGACGCTTTTTTCGACCTCTAGTATCCATCTACAAACACAAAAAGAATCATCTATTACAAAGGAGCAAAATAAGAAGTAAACTAACACAAAAAGGATAGTCATTGCAAAAATACTACAAGCTAATACATAAGGGAGAGCTATAAATAAAGATCAGTAATGATTTTAAACATGATTACTTCACAAGTGATTCACAAAGGCAAAATAAAACAAAAAAAACATACTAAAACTCTGAATAAGATGTAATCAACTAAACCTGAACTTAAAATGAAAATAAATTATAAAAACATGAACTTGAAGTAAACAGAGAAGCTAAAGACAATAAATGAAAAAAGGAAATTAAACCTGATATAACAAAACATATTTCATAAATCAAACTCAATATTAACTAAACTAATGACTACAATATCAAGCACGATACAAAATTGAACTAAAAGTATATTTAAATGAAAATGAAATCAAACATGATATAACAAAAACAAATTTCATAAACTAAAATTCTGAAAGTTAACTAAACTAACAGCTAAAACAATGAAGCCTGAAACAAAATTGAACTAAAACTGAATTAAAATGAAAATAAGATCTACTAAACTTAACCTAATCTTCAATTCAACTAAAACTAAAATTAGATTATACTGAACAAAAATAAATGTGAACTACAACTAAAAACAGATTCTATTAAACTAAACTTGAACTGAAAATAGGATGTACTAAACCTAACCTAAACTTAAAATCAAAATAACTTCTACAAAACAGAAACCGAAGTAAACATAGATTCTAGTTGACCTTATATAAAACTGTTATTGAACCAGAACCTAGAGCATCGAACAACATGAAATAGATCAATCAACCATTACAACATATTCAACAGATAAGTGCAACACACAAAACAACTCAACACATTGCTGTACAACGAAAGGAAATACAAAGAAAAGAATAGAGAAACTAATACCTTATACCAGACGCTGATCCAATCTCAAGACGAATACAATCACTGAAGAATAGGACATCGCAGCTCCAAAACGACCGACAAAAACCACAAAGATATAGCAATGAATTTGGTCAGAATGAAACATAAATAGATACAATCCAAATCCACAAAAAAAAAACTATCAACATAAATGAACGAACCCTAGCACCGTGGACGATCCAAGCTCTGGGTCAGCAGCAAACCTCAACACGAACAGATCAGAGACCGCCATAGAAAAGGGGAAGAACAACATCCGACCAAATCGAAGAAAATATAACAACACAGGAGACTCAGAAGATATGCATACAACTCAAATAGCTCATATACATGGAACTAAAGGAGAAATGAAGGAACAAATCATGAACCCTAGCGCCGAATCCCCGATACGCCTCGGTCGCCTCCAATCGCCTCTTCAAGATCCAGTGACAGATGAGGAAGACGACACAGGAGATTCAGAATACATGCAAACAACTCAAAATAGCTTAGATCCATGGAACTAAAAGGAGAAATCGATGAAGAAATCACGAACCCTAGCGCCGAATCCCCGAGACGCCTGGCATCGCCCCTTCGAGCTCCACTGACAGACGAGGATGACGAAACGTAGGCAGAAATGAAGCGTTCCAAACCAGAAAATAAGGGGCGACTCCCAAAAAAAATCAAAACAGTAGGCGCCGGCAAGATGAACCCACATATTAGACACAGAGCAAAGCAAAGAAAACAGAGACGGCACAGATGAGAGACAGGGATCGGACGGCATCCAGAATGGAGTGACAGATGCCAAAAGATCGCTCGAGTGAGCAATAGATTTTATCGAGAGAAAAAGAGTTAACAGTGGCCACGCGTATGCAGCAATAACAGCATGGGATCAGCAGCCCGCACGACAGGTCTCGTCTCGGATCGTACCCAATGCAAGCTGGGTAGCAGCGTGCACATCCAACAGTAGATGAAAGGAAACAAACAACGGACATGGATGTGCAAGGAGCAGACGGGACTGCTGGCTGCTGCAGAGGGTAGAGCCGTGGCAGGCAGCACCGGTCAATCTCTATCGCTAGGTAGCTGCTGCAAGGAAGTAAGAACACCTCCCGTTTTATCAATCCCTGCCATTCTGATTTGATCACATCCGATCGATCGAAGGCATGACGGGTGGTCAATTTGCTACCGACGTACTGTGCGTGTTTACGTACACACGCCGCGCGCGTAGGCTGGAGGGCACAGGGCAAGGTGGCGCTGATCACGGGCGGGCTAGCGGCATCAGGGGGCCGGGAGTGCGCGTGGACGGCGCGCGCGTCGCGGTGGCAGACATCCAGGACTAGCCCGGCGTCTACCTCTGCCGCCAGCTACGTGCACTGCCACGTCCCCGTTGAGGACGACGTCGCGGCCGGCGGTCGTGGCCCGGTTCGGAGCAGGCCATAGGGGCCGTCGCCAACCTCATGGGTGGCGGACATTGCCGTCGCCGTGCTCTACCTCGCCCGCGACGACGCGCGCTACGTCAGCAGCCACATCCTGCTGCTCGACGGGGGCTTCTCCATCGTCAACCCGTCCTTCAATTTGGGATCTTCAAAGACTGGCTTGACATGACAGAGATCTCTGTGGACTGCGATTGCTCGCACTGTGTCTCTGATTGCTTGCTTGCCAGAGATCTACTCCCTCCGTCTAAAAAAAACAGAAATCGTGTTGCTCAAACTTTCTTAACTTTAACTAGGTTTATAAAAAAATACGTGCAATATTTATATCTCCAAATAAATTTATTATGAAAATATATTCAACGATCTACCGAATGATACTAATTATATATCATAAATATTAATATTTTATTAAATCTATTTAGTCAAAGTTAAAAGTTACTGTCTTTTTGAAAACGAAAATGATTCTTTTTTTAGACTGAGAGAGTACTCCTCAGCTCCAGAAAAGTCTTCCTCCTCCCAGTCCCAGTCCCAGTCTGCCGGTTTCGTCGCTTTATTTTCCTCCGGTCTGATGAAGCCAACCAGTAGTAGTTACAGAAGTATTAAGGCAGCGGAGCTCGGCCGATCCTCAGCCGGTCCACGGTAGGGAACAAGATCCTCTGCAGTCGACCCTCACGACTGCATCCGGCAGTCGTTCCATCCCTGCCGTTCCTTGCCATCGAACGGACCAGCGCTGAGCCCAGGCGCTCCACCTCCTCCGCACGTCGTTCGGGCCCAACAACATGGCCCATGGCCTGTTTAGCGTAGAAAGCAAGCATCGGTCCTCTGTCGCTCTCGCCGCCGTCGCAACTCGGTCGGTCTCCTTCCCCTCCACCGCCGTCGCTCTCGCGAGCTCATCCAGCGCGACTCGGGCCGCGACGATGTCGTTGGCGTCGGCGTCCACGCGGCCGACGTGCGGGACGCTTCCGCCGTGGCGTGAGCGCTCGAGGAGGCCGGCCCCGTCGACGTGGTGGTCTGCAACCACGGTGTGTTCGCGTCGCGTGAGCTTGAGAGGCACGACATGGATGAGATGATGCGGATGGTGGACGTCAACCTTATCGGCACCCAGAGCACGAGCAGTCTAGGAGTGCAGAGTAGAGAGAAAGATCTAAGAGCGCAGAGTACTTCACTTCTCGTATCAATGGCAACCGAGCACGAGCAGGGCAGGTGTGCATGGTGTTCTGAATTTTGTTTGAAAACGTTGGCATGTTCTTGTTCAGATGGATCCGAAGCCGAACACAAAGAGGCACCAATTCGAGGAAGCCAAGAAGCTGGGCATCCTGTGAGTGGTGAGGGACGAGGCCGGCGAGCCATACATGATGCCCAACACGGCGTTCGACGTCGCGATGCTCGACTTCACCAACCCGGAGGCGCACGCCTGGTTCAAGAGCATCGTTCCTGCACGGGATGATGGACCATGGCGTCAGCGGCTGGATGGCTGACTTCGACGAGGCCTCTGGACGTGCGGCTGCCCTCCAGCGAGGAGGACCGCGTCGCCGCACACAACCGGTACCCCGGAGCTGTGGGCGCGCGTCAACCGCGAGTTCGCTGACGAGTGGAAAGCCCGCTGCTGTGCCGCGCGCGGAGGCGATGACGTGATGGCGGCCATGGCGGCGGCGAGGACGAAACGACGGCCTAGTGTTCTTCGTGCGGTCTTGGTTCCGGGAGAGCTCCCGATGGGCGATGCTGTTCTGGGAGGGCGACCAGATGGTGAGCTCGCAGGCAAACGCAAGCTGTCGCGCCAAAAAAAAAGAAGAAGAAACACCGCTGCTTTTTACGCTTAAGAGGCCGTGTTGTTTGGCCGGAATGACGCACGAAGGAGGTGGAGCGCCTGGGCTCAGCTGGTCCGTTGGATGGCAGGGAACGGCAGGGATGGAGCGACTGCACCCGGCAGTCGTGAGGGTCGACTGCAGAGGATTTGGTTCCCACGGTAGTGAATTATTTTACGCCGTCTGATTACTTTTTTGCGTAAAGATTTTTTACCACAGCCTGGTTTAGATGCCATCCAAATTCCAAGTTTTTTTACTTTCTCTTCGTCACATTAATTTTTAGTCGCTTGCATGAAGTATTAAATGTAGGTAAAAAAAAACTAATTACACAGTTTAGTTGGAAATCACGAGATGAATCTTTTGAGCCTAGGTCCATGATTAGACAATATTTACCAAATAAAACAAAAGTAGTACTATTTATCAGGTTCATTTTTTTTTTTAAGTGAACGAGGCCCACGTGTGCTTCCTCCCTTGTTGCACCTCCGTACATGCGTGCCTTCCTATTATCGGACTGCCCACCAGCGGATAAGAAAATATCTTCTCCATCCCGTCGCTCTCTCCCCGCACGCCACTCCCTCTCCGCGCGCCGTCCTCGTGGTTGCCGCCCCTCCCCGCGTCGTCCTCAGGAGCCTCTCCTCCACGCGCTCCCTCTCCGCCGCCGCTCCGCTCTTGCCAGCGCCGCCGCCGCTCCATCCCCTCCTCTGAACAACCCCTGAAGGGATGGTTGTACCACCGGACCAGTCACTTCACAAAGCTGGAGCCGGCCACGCAGATCCGTTTCGGCGTCCTCACCCGCGCCGCCGCAACATGCCATAGGGATGGCCGGCCTCACCCGCGCAGCCGCTGTAACATGCCCTAGGTTTTCGTTGTTGGCCAAATCCTCGACCAGGACAGGCACCTCTTGATCCGTCATGGTGTGTTGCTCCAATCCCGACTCCCCCGTCCCTGGTGAGCGCCAAAATTCCTCCTTCCCTTTTGTTGCTTCTTCGTGGTTCTTTTCATCAGGCGTGTTTTTTCGCATCAATTGAAATGCAAAACAACGGATGGGTTCTTGCACAGTGCTTCGTTGCAGGCTGTTCCAGGTCGTGTACAAACTTTAAATTAGGCCGTTGATTACGTATTTAAAATTTTAAATTAGGCCGTTGATTACGCATTAGCATTGCTGTAGATATGTGCAGAAAATATGGTTGGTCGACTACATATTGGTTAATGACCTTTTTTAAATTAAGCTTAAGATTAGCTATTAGGTTTGTCACATCTTCTGCTATGGAAAAATGTAAGGATTAGGTGTTGGTATATTTAACGCACACAGATAATTCCGCAAGCGCACGGATATCGCTGTACTTTTCACCCGGAAGTATTCAAGTATAGTATCCACAGGGAAACGTGTGAGACTAACTACAAGGAAATGTGTGAGACTAACTACGGTCTAACTAAGCTCCAAACTCTTCCCTCACTCTCTATCTCACTATTTCTATTTATAAGACTAGATCCTATGGAGGACTAATCTTCTCTTGATAGCTAGCTCTGATCCTCATGATATGAATTAGGGTTTCAGGGATCTGCTCAGGGAGGGGGTACATGGCTGTTTATATAGGCCGGAGCGTCCATCGTGAGCCCTTGGATCAAACCGACTTAAAAGACGGTGTAGATGCAACCTAGGAGGCGGTGGGGAACCAACTTAGCAACGAGGGGCTGACTGGCAGCCGGCCCCACATGTTAGTGTCTCAGGCTCCGCTTCGGTGGAGAGCCTCCTAGAGTCTTCCCACGTCGGTTATGCTGTGGAATTACGCGATTTTCTTTTGACGAATAGGTCCCCCTTGGTGGTTTTCTGGATAAACCCTGCTGAAAGCATAGATTCACCAAAATTCGTGGAATTTATTAGTTTAAACCCCTATACCTATGTTTGGTGATGGAATTAAGTATAAATACAGGTTATGTTGACGGTTTATAATTGATGTTAGTGACCGTCAACATTAGGCCAAAATAATTACTTCATTTTCCTCATCGATAGCAAATAAAAAAGAAAAAGAAAAAAAACAGAATGCTAATAAAGGTAAAATGTTGTGTTGTACAAATTTTTAGCTTTAGTGCAATGGTGAAACAACGTGGGAGACAGGTTCGGCAGGTTTCCATGTTTTCTTTGTCATTTATCTCTTTGGACTCTAAATTGATTACCTTAGCTTCAGCATATGACACATCATTCAGCTAGCAAGGTCATCTATCAGGTAGGGCATCATACTTAAGCTACCTTGTGTGATGTGTTATACATGTACATGCAATGACAAAATTATGCCTACTTAACTATTTCTCTGAAGAAAATTATGTTCGTGCAGTACCCTATTACTCTATCGATCATATCAAAAAATATATTTTGGTTCCTATTGTGCCTGATTTAGTCGCTGTATTCCGGACATCTATTGCTATTGAACAAAGTAAGTGCCTGATTTAGTCGTTGTATTCCGGACATCTATTGGTGAGTATTTAGGATTCATACCAAATGTAAGTGCTTCTCAAGACCAGCTAGATGTGAATTGATGAATATCTTTTCTAGATTCTGTTGTTGTCAGTGTAGATGCGCTTTGCTAACTTATTCCAAGTATTTATGGTGTGAAAAAAAGTCAGCGCATATGTCTATAGACTGAATATGGTTGTTTCCTAAAACTTTTTCTGGTATTATAAATGGTGAACTTGATAGGATCACGCAAAGTAAATGCTATATTTACATAGTCTACTCTTCGAAATTGATGCTAAATTTATTTAGTTCGTCTTCAAAATTTCCAATGCAACCAGATTGATATGTTCCATGGTCTACTCTTGCCATTTCAGTAATTTCTACCGTAATTTCTATACCTAATGTGAACTTTAGCCTGCAACTTAAATAATATTTAGTTCCTACTATAATTTTTATAGCTAATATACGTGCTTCTCTTATATATTTATTATAGCACTACATATTTTCACATCAATTTATCTATTTGATTTTCTCATCTAATGCTTGCTTCTCTCTTATCTGTGCACTCTATAATCATAAGAGGCCACTTTTCCTTTTTCCTTCTTATGCTTTCGTGCAGGACCTCGGGAACTATGCGCAGGAATACTAAAACGCCGAGAAAGAAGATATAACTTTGTGTAGGAACATTAAATCAGTTCTCCGACTGCTCAATGCAGTAAGCACACCACTCTTCTATAGTTCTATCTGAAAGTACATCTACCTTTGCAGGTTGAACAAGCGAATCATCATTACCTAGATCACTTGATCTTAAGTTTTGAAGAGTTGTGAAGGTCAAAAAAAGGTATGCTTAACATTGAATTTTCTATTATTCAGTTTCCTGTGTTTTGGTGCTTTGTTCAAATTTGGCTGCTTATTTATAGACTTCCATAAGACCTATGATACTACAAAAAAAACCAATATGGCGACTTTGAAACATGTTGCCAAAGTACTCTTCAGATGTGTTTCCTCGCACTACCTCATCATCGTAATTTTGGCCCAATTACTCTTCAGATGTGTTTTGCCCTTGTAGCACGCATTCGTAGATTCACACGCACTTCAGAAGTAGAAGTGTAGAACATTAAAAAAAAGACAAGTAGCTATGGTCAGTCTCAGTTTTCTATGCTTTCTGTACATGTCTTTGAGGATATGCTCATATCGAGCACAAGTGATATTTGTTATATTTTTACGAATAGGTGTGTATGTCAGAAGTAGAATAAAACTGTTTTGTGTTACACTTCACAACTTATTGTCATTAATTGTTGACATTTTCCTGTATGATCTGATAATTTGTTTAAAGCACAGTGCACATATAATTTCGATATTGATTATTGGACTGCTATACTGCTTAGGTAATGACGTGCAAGATTGTGGTTTTGATTTGGCCTCGTTTCATGCCTTTGCAGGCTGATTTGTACATCCTCTACAATATTTTTTCTAAATGTACTTCGGGTGAGGTGATCCATCATTGTCATGGCATATAGCAGAAGGACCCGCTTTCTCCAATGAAACAAAGTCAAATTCAGGTTAGCTTATGCTCAAACAATAATATTAAATTCTCAGTCCAACACCAGTTACGACTGACAAAATGATTTAACTTCATCATGATGATCTTATTTTTTTACCTAACTAGAGTGAAATAATATACTCAAATAATGAAACTTCAAATTTGGGTTTGTGCTCCAGTGGTATACCTCATCCAGACATAGACAAAGCTGTTGGTATGTGTATCATGCCTGGCATTGTTGTCTTTCAAAATTGTAATCTTATTACGTCGGCAAAGATAATGCCTACAATACCTTAATAATTATGTCTAGGGTGTTCTGCTATTTTCTTTTTGGCATTGCATCATGCTCATATAGTGTCAAGGTGTGATATGCTTGAGAAGGCATCATTTTAGTATGAACTAACCTTCAACAATAGCTTGAGAGGTGGAACGAGAATACCTATACTTCTTTCCTCATTGCATCAGGCAGTTTCTGTTGAGTACTCGAGTATACTTCTGGGCTAAGCCAATTTCTCAGTTTTATATGATCGAGTTAGATAGGTATTGGGGCCTTTGCCATTAGGATGTCAAGACCACCTATCACTCACATTATCTCTTAGATAGGAGTATTTGTTTTTGTTAGAAAAGTAGTTCTATTCTTTGTTGTTGTTGTTGTAGAAAAGTAGTTCTATTCCCCCATGTCACACACATAATTGGCCTAATAATAATATAAATGATGGGACAAATAGTATGGATGTAGACCCCTAACGTCAATCAACCATGGACAGCTCGAGTAATTTTCAAATTGGGAATTTCCTTGATTTTTCTACTTCTCTGGCTATGGACAGAGCTGTTCTAATGTCTACCAGCTCTATTTTTCATGTTTCCTTTACACCAGAGACTGTTGTATTAGATTTGCTCCTTCTCGCTAGGCATACAATCCTAGATTAGGTTTATAGCTTTGGTTTTTACCGCGTATACTTGATGAGCCTAACAACATGTGTTTTCCCGTTTGATTGGTATTTCCCTATGCCATTGGTTGACATGAGTGGATTAGTTTGACGCCTATTCCTGTTATAGAGCTTTTGCAACCTGCATTCTTTTATGTGCCAAATTTGTGCAATTTCCAGTTATATTCATGCTCCTTGGTTATTCTTCCGTTGGTACTGACCGCTCATACATCACAGATTCAAACATAATAGCAAACATATATACGCGCGAAAGGACAACCACCAGCAACAGAACCTCCAACCTGCACCAGGAACACTAGAGGGACGACGAGGCCAACAGGGAAGAAAAGGTAACCTTGCATCGATTACTACAAATTTCCCTTGCCAGCTCCTAATTTTAGCACGATCACAGTCTTTGCTCTGCTAAAATTACAATCTCTACTTATTAAAACCTGGTCTGATCTGCATCTGCATCTAAGATTTGCAAAATCTGGGGTGTCTCAAGCAACGTTTGTTTTAGCCAACCAAGGCAGAACCATCCATTATAGAGATAGGTTCACACTGTACTTTGTTTTTAGTGCTTGCAGTTATGGACTTTCGAACAAATTCAGAAATGCCCTCTTTGTTATTTATCACAGTGGTTCTTTCTAACACTAGAGTGTTTTTAGACCTAAAACGTCAAGTTGTGTATCTACACCTTGGCAAATAATTTCTTAGGAATCTTCACTATCTTGGTATTGCATAGCTAAAACGTCAAGTTGGGTTTTGCTTGTGCAGTTTTTTTTCCCCGATTCACACTGGGCGTCCTGATTGCATAGCTCAATTGTTGCCATCACACCTTGGTAATTCTATGTCCTTTTTTCTTCTCCCATCACTGCATGCACATGATCACACGCGTACATGTAACTAAAACTGTGATTTGGCATTATCTTTAGTGGTAGATATTAGTCTTCTCTATGAACATAGCTTTAATCTAAATTGAATTA